AAGGCTGCCACTGGTCTGGGCCGGGCTAGGGTTCCGGACTGTTTTTGGGCTTCTAGCAGTGGCCGATCACAAAAGAAAACACTGTTCACGGGGCCCGGGCTTGGGCCGACGCGAAAACTTTGCCACAGGGCCTACTAGCCCCTAAGCCCAGAATTTTCCCAAATAAGAGCCCAGCCCGGCCCAATTGTAAGCCTTTTTTTTTTTTGTAGTAATCTTCACTCTTCAAAAATTTCTTGTTTATAGTAAGCCAATAAAATAAACATAAATATATGCTAAAATATTTTCTAGAAAATTGAACTCCATTCTCTCTCTTGAAAACCAATCCCTCTTTTTCTCTCTACAAACTCATTATCTCCATCTCTCTAAAAACCGAATTTCTCTTTCTCTCTCTAATAACTCATTCTTTCTATCTAGAAACCCAATCTCTTTTTTTCTCTCTCTAAATACCTAAGAAAAATTTCTAAAAATTATTTTAGCATATGCCTTTTTTTTCTTCTTTTGACTTACCAAGAAAAATTTGAAGAGTGAGATAAAAAAAGAAAAAAAAGCTTCGTCATAGGCCCATGCCCAACCCAATAGTTTCTTTCCAGGCGGGCTTTTCGGGTGTAGTTTTCAGGCCGGATCAAAGTATCTTTGGGATTTTCCAGGCTTCAGACCGAGCCCAGTATGGTGGCAGCCCTATTTCTATGTATCTCGAGGATAAATTTGCCTGAAAAACTTATGTGCACATTAATTTATATCAACCTATTGTCTTAAAAAAAGCAATTGTTAGAAATAATACAAATTTTAATGGGAAAAGTTTATATAGAGCCTAGGCTCCTACCTCAAAAATTTCACTAGAAGGGGTTGTTTTGATGCTCGAATGTCCTCAAATTGATCATCTCGACATCAAGATGCATGGACTTGAGAAAAAAATAGATTTCAAGTTTTGAAAATAGTGCATCTTGTAATGCAATTTTGGACCATCAATTTTTAAGTTATTCAAATTTTTATAGATCTGGTCGATCTACGTTATTTTTGAAGCTTTATATTTTATAATTAAAAATGAAAATATATTTTAAGGCTAATAAAAAATTTCCAATATTGAAACCACATTTCTCAATAATATTTGAAGGTGGGCTCTAATTTGATTGTTTAGAGCCTCGGCTGTATATAAACCGCACCCAACTTTAATTTCCTATGCTTTCTTCTTAGAAAAAGTGGTTGTTGGTGCTTGAGAACAAAAAAAAAAAAAAAAAAATAACTCGAGTTCTTCAACTTGTTTCATAAATATCCCATTTCCCCATCCAACTCCAACAAAGAAGGATCTCCATGATAGTTGCGTCCACAGTTCACCCATGTGGGCTTCTTAGAGAGAGAAGTGATGGCATTCACCCGTGTGGGCTTGTTAGAGAGAGATGTTAGCAGTTCACCCATTTGTTCTAGAGAGAGAGATGGATAGTTTATCTAATCATAAAATTCCAAAAAAATAAATTTGGAACATGGAAACATTTTGGGATTGTTTTTTTATTCATAGGAAGTATCAATTTAGAAAAAGTAAGCCAAAGGCACCTGAATCATTTCTAAAACCGCTTACATTTTCAACGAGGACTAAGTAACACTTGAAGGAAGTTGATGTAAGAGAAATTTGAGAGAGATATGCAGGAAAATGCGAGAGAGAGAGAGAGAGAGAGAGAGAAATTTGCAGGAAAATGAGAGAGAGAGAGTAAGAAAGAGAGAGAGAGAGAGATTTGCAGGAAAATGAGAGAGAGTATTTTCAACATGCGGGCCTACCTATAACTGGACCACTGAAAGTGGAAGTACTTTTTCTCTTTGTTTTTCCTGGTCTTTTTTCTCTTTCTTCTTTCTTAACATTGAGTATGGGGTGGGTGAGGGAGACCCCTGCCCTCCCATAAAAAGTAGATATTTTCATTGAACTGGAAGCTTGAAAGTAACATGCACATTTCAATCGCAGAGAAGGATTAGGAAGAATCCCATAAAAGCAGCGTGGAAACAGGAAGAACCACTGTTGAAGAGTTTCAAATTAATTTAGTTGATATTAACAACATCAAACCCCATCTATAAATGATGAATCCTCAATCAATTAGGGAAGCAATTCCTCACAATTACGACATACTACTATTTTATTTTCGGTCCCTTTTGTAGCTTAGATGGTTTGGTCTTGAGTTGGTTGACCTATGTGGTTTGTCTGAGTTTCTCGTAATCTAAGGCATAGGCCTGTTAAAAGGACTCAAGGGATTAATAATACAGAAATTTTCATATAGAATCCTTATTTTATGGTATACTCTCTTCTCGTTTTTCTTTCAAGCGGCATAAAGAAATCTTTAATGATTTTACCGTACCCTTCATCTCTTATCTCATTCTTTTATTGACTTTTGACTATAAAAATTAGCCTCAACAAATCTTTTTATACCATTTTATCCAAAAAGCTTTTTTAACATTCTCTTTCCCTTTCTACTCATTAAAAAAGTTTTTGGGTTGAAATGATATAAAAAGATTTATTAAGACTAATTTTTATGATCAAAAGTTAATAAAAGATGAAGATAAAAGATGAGGGGGTATGATAAAATTTTTAGGGATTTTCTTATGCCACTTGAAAGAAAAACGAAAAGAAGGCCTACCATAAATTAATACGAAAAATTAAGATTCTATACGAAATTTTCCCTTGATAACATTCGGTTTGTTGGCTCCTATATTGAATTATTATTTGTTGTTAAGATAATGTAAAGTACAGAGGAAAAATGTGAAGACAAACATAGTAAACATATTGTCTAAGGGTGGCAAGGCCTAGGCTTGGGCCAAGGCTGTGGCCGGCTCTGGCCCAACCCTTGTCTATATATGACCGGGCCAGGTCAGACCAAAAAATAAATGAAGAAAAAAAAAGAAAAAGAATAAGAAGAAAAGAGGGTCGGGCCGGATCGAACCTACCCCAGCCCTCGCACTACACCTTGTGATCCAAACCGCTACTTTTTAAGGGGTGGAGGCAGGGCAGGGCGCACTGGGCGGGGCCGCCTAACAGTTGCCAGCCCTAATTACTGTCAAGAGGTGTACCTGTGTATTAACTCAAATAGTATGCTTAATCCTGTGATAGCATACACTTATATAGATAATTATGAAGCATATTCATAATCATAATGTCATGTAGGCATTGCATGGAATTTGCTGAAACAATTCATGCGCATGCATGCACTTACATAATTAAGAAGAAAAAACGTTCACATGCATGTGGCATTGGTGGTATTACTGCTGAGCCCCATGGTGAGGGGTCTCATACTACATTTTCACCAAAGCGTAAGGGCCCAAATCTTCATTGGTTTTACCACTTTGTAATATACAAATCTAATTTTTTTCTATTTCTTTGATAAGTTATTAGTGGGAATGAAAGGTAACCCGTTATATTGAGGCATCCACTCCCTTCACCATTAGTGCCCAGCCTCCATTCCCCAATTTTTTTTTTTTTTTCTATTTCTATTAATGAAAAACGGGTAGAGGGATTTCTCTCTCATTGATTTATCCAAAAAAATATATATAAAAAAAGAAAAGATAAAAAGGAAAAATCATTATCCCTCCTCATCATGTTTTGGAATCCCAAGTTTGATGTGCCTTCTTTTGTTGTATTTCATCTTGACAAATTTTCTTATGCAATCTAATTATTTTCTATTTCTATTAATGAAAAGCAGGAAGAGGGTTTTTTCCCTCACTGATTTACTCCAAAAAAATATGTAAAAAAAAATAAAAGATAAAAACGAAAAATCACTATCCCTCAACATCATGTTTTGGAATCCCAAGTTTGTTGTGCCTTCTTTTGTTGTATTTCATCTTGACAATTTTTCCTCCTCTTTTTTCTTTCTTTTTTTTTAAAGTTTTTTTTCTACATTCGTACCATGGAATTTTCCTCCTTTTTTTTCTTTCTTTTTTTTTTAAAAGTGTTTTTTCTACATTCATACCATGTTGCAAAAACCAAAAAAAAACAAAAAATGTTGAAATAAAACACAAGAAAAAAAGGGCACATCGTAGTTGGGATTTTAAAAGGAGATGTGGAGGGAAAATGATGTTTCTTGTTTCTATCAAGGGGGAATATATCCCCCCACCAAAAAAGGTATAATGAGACGTGTGCTAAAGAGGTGAAAGGTGATAAACTTGGTAAGAGTGAGGTTAAACTAAAGTCATCGAAAGATGTTTAAAATTCATACATATACATACATATAAGAAGAGAGATAGATAATCAAAACTTGGAGAATACCAAATGTCATTGACTAGGTACAAGGTCCTAATAAAAATACATGATCTCATTATATATATATATATATATATATATATATATATATATAGTAGGAAAGTATAATAGTTACGCCGTACGGTTAGTATAGACGTATACTAGTACTACTTACTATTTACGTTGTTTAGTTAATTTTATTTTAATTTTAATTAAACTAC